CAGAAATATGAAAATAAAGACTGATTTTGCAAAAAAATTGGACAAGCAATTCTTGACAGTTATGGCATATTAATATTGTTTTTAGACCACCAGGCTTGCATTTTAAGAACTTGGTTGTCTCAAGCTGGGCTCGTTATTTTAGCATTACCCTTCGTTTGCCAATCTAAATGTAACCTGTGGTGCTGCACCATGGGGATGGGCTGGCTTGGCTTTCCATGCTCTCTCTGATCACACAATAGGAGTGTTTTATTCTGAATTAGCTGAAGCCAAGTGAACTTAACTTACAAAGTCCCCTTAATCAATAGCAGTGTTTCAAGAATCTTCCCAAGATGCCAGCAATAACAGGCTCTGCTCATACATTGTTCCCAGAATTTAAGAACGGCCAAATCAGAGCATTCTTTTCAAAATTGAAAATGTAGTGTCAAAAGTGACCCCCCCAAGAAATAACTTTATAGCAAAACCACAAAACTAGGTATCCAGCTACATTTTTTTGAGCTAAAAAAATGAGTGTGAATTCTTGTAAAATTCCTTTCCCACCACAGTTTGATGGAAGGAATTTTTGCCTAGCATTGAAACAAAAGCAGTAGAATTCTAACAGCCGGCTAAATTAAGTAACTTTGGGGCAGCTCAGGGTGGTGGATTGAAAAGGGAGTGTTCTGTCTCCGGAAAGAGAATGAATAGAGGAGATCAGAGCAGCCTAAAGCATTTATCAATTCTTTGCCGCCAGACAAAAGACCTCTGCCATTCTCCTGGCCCCATCCTGGTCCAGGCTCATACTTCCTCCAGCATCTGGAATTCAAAATTTGGTGACTAACTCAGAAATAAGTAAAGGAACTTGGTTTCCTTTGCACTGGGTGCTTCAAAAGTTGCTAAGTCTGTAGGTTCTTCAGATCATCTGGATTTTCTTGGCGTCCTGGAATTGACAGGGCATTAAAGGTAGAATTAAGGGAATATGAACTGTTTTTCATTCGTCACTACGGCACTGTCTCCCACCCCTAAACCACAGGTAGCTGGACCAGAGACAGACAGGTAGCTGGGGCATACTCCGATGCCCCCCAAACTCTACAGAACATAGTGGCGGGAGCACACACAACCAATAGTGTTTAGGTTGCAATCCCACAGAGTAGCAGTGACCGAATGTGCTCCCCTTCCACGGAGACATGGCCAGAGGGTGGCCTGTCACTCTCTCTCTTCCCTCCACCCCTGCTGAACTTGCAGTGCTAGGCTGGGCTTCCTCTGCTTTGTTTCAGTTAGCTCCCTGGGCGTGCAAGCTGTGCTGAGCTTGTGTCTGGTCATTAAAACCAGAAGTTACCAATGAAGGTCTGGGGGTGCTGCGAGGGCCGCTCTGCCAGCCCTGCTCTGCCAGCCCCGCTCTACCTTCATTCAAATCTAAATTGTTCGTTCACCTTTTGCCAATTGTGAGTCACTTCCGGTGAATTCCTTTCCCTTCCAACAGGAGGCATCCAGTTGCCATATTTTTTTCCACTAAGGTACTCAGGGAGTTTAACCCCCTTAGGCCTACCCTTTACACCCACCCACAACAGTTTGTGTTTGGCGAGCGGTTCCAGAGCAGTGGTTCTCAACCTTTCCTAATACTTTGACATTGTTCCTTCCGTTGCTACTTCGTAACCGTAATTTTGCGACTGCTATGAATCATAATGTAAGTATCTGAGATGCACAATATCTGCTGTGTCACCCCTGTGAAAGGGTCATTTGTCTCCCCCAGAGGGCTTGAGACCCACAGGTTGAGAACCATTGCTCCACAGCCCCATGCAATGGGTTTCACCTTATTTTCCTCATGGGTGGACTGTGATATTGGCTAACTATACAATGCCTTGGTTTGTTCGTCTCTGTAATGAAATTAGCAATAGACCTGGTCTTACAGGAACACTGAAAAAGTTACAGGGTGGAACAATAAAATAAAAGGTGTCGGGGCATCCCGGGAACATGAAAACACCAGAGAGACCTGTGGCATTTTAACAGCAGCACTGGCAAATTAGTGGCGGGCATGAACTAATCTGGGGAAGGGCATCTCCTGATGTTTGCAGGGGTGAATAGAGTGACTGGCACCAGCAGCCTGGGGAAAGGAACAGGTGGTGCCCTGTGGCATTCAGGGTGATTTATTGGCCAGCCATTGGTGAAGAGAACAGGCGCCTGCTTGGTGCTCACGCTGCTACCAAACCAGGACAGAGTGCTGACTGGGCAGCTACTCTGGTTACCACAGAGCCCAAAGCTCTGCTTTCATTACGTCTCTTGTCGCTTTTTGCTTCATTCTCTCTTCCCTTCCCCTGGGAACAAAGCTACACGCTTAAAAAAAAAATGTTCCATCTATTTCTCAGCTGTGTTTTCACTGTTCCTGAGGCGAGTGTACTCACGTGTTGGTTCCAAAATCCTGCATCAGCTGTTCACTTGTTGTATAACCTTAGGAGAAATAATTGCCCGTGGGAAGTTTTGAAATAGTACATCTCCACCTTAACTTTCTGGCCATATTGACCCAACACTTCAAAAAGGAAGAAATTTGAAATTTGAAAGAAATTGCTGCTGTACTTGTACATTTGCAATGACCTCGTTTGTGTCTTCAATTTTTACTAATCCCGACTTTGCCTTTCACCTATCTGGGAAATACCTTAGAGGAAGAAATTATTCTGAAAATTCAATAAGGAGAAAAGATAGGGTAAGCTGTTACAGGGAATAAATGCAGAAAAGTGATTTTCAGAAAAACCATGATGTTAGGTTTCCGTGCAATAGCTTGTTTTTGTTGTCGTTGGCTAGTTCAGGTACACCAGTCACCATTTCGGATTAAATAATACTCCGCTTTGAGAAATTTATTGCCTTCAGCAATCTGTGTCCTATCATTTTCTCCTTTTGCTGACTTATTTAACCTAGAATTTAAAAGTTTGTATTGGAATTTCAAAACTGTAGGAACATAGTTGATGTTGACTATGGAGATTACAAAATCAAAAAATCTAATCTGAAGACAAAAGGAGCGGCGGGCACCATCCCTGTACTACACGTCGTAACTGCGTTTCTCTCCATCAGTCCAGAAATGCACAGCGCATATTCCTCCCTGCAAAACTGGCCGAGAAATGAGGAAGAAAAACCCGGGTTCTAACTGGGACAAGCTAATTGGTTGCAGGCTCTTGGGACCACTGCCCACTGGCGTGCCTCCTTCGTTCCTCCTGTGGTGTTTTTGTGAGGGCACATGATCATGATGCAGGGACTAAGTTTGACACATCAGCCTTGACACAGGCAGGAGTGGAAGGATTTATTTCTGTGACTTTCGCATCCAATATGAAAATAAAGCCACAATCCAGGATGGACATTTTTCAAATGATGCATATGGAGGATAACTTCATCAGGCATGAGGGTTTACTAGACCCAGAATTCCCTGCTGTCAAACTGATGGCCTGGACTGAAAAAGTTTTAGAAGCTACATCTCCAGGTTGCTCAAGAAGTACCAACACTTAGACACTGTCATTCTTCAGGTTGGGATGGCTGGGGAAGACCCACATGTATCAATAAAATCAAATAGAGACGTGCATAGTGCTTATCCCCTCAGGACCCCTTTGTCTAATTATCTTCAATCTCAGCATCTTTCTTCCTCAAACAAAGCTACTGTTTTAGCAATAAACAAAATAATCATTTGTTCAAAAAAAGAAATGTACCTATTTCCGCTATCATCAGAATCCCTGATTCCATGGGGATATTAGAGCTCATATATCCTAAAGCCAAGGACATAGGGTGAGTGTCCCATTCAGCAGTCTCATATGATGAAGTTGAAGGGACCGGTACCCTACAACAGTGGATCATTGTGCTGGTGTTCAGTGCATGAAGTACAGGCAGACATGACTTAATGTCTACAGTGGCATTGACAGAAACACAGCATACTCCACCCCTCTTCCTCAGTTGCCTTCAGTCTGCTGAATTCCATGTCTCTGTAGACGAAGCCTAATAGACTTTTAAAATTGCGAAATTTCTTTTGCACATAGGTTATACATATTCCTTGGAATTAATCAGAGGTAGATAATAATGATATGTATTGGATGAGATACAAATAGAAGTAAAAATTGACTCACCATAAAAATATGGTTAGGTTAATATTTGGGTTCAGACCTTTTGTGTGTGTGTGTGTGTGTGTGTGTGTGTGTGTGTGTGTGTGTGTGTGTGTTACTGAAATCCACACTTTGTGTTATATAGCGGTATTTTCCAGGGTTAAATTGGACCAATGGTGGAGAATGGGACTTGTTCTCTTCCTTATTCATCTCACTTGAAAAGAACACAAAATAACACTATAGACTTTGGACTTGTCTTAAAATCTCAAGCACAATAAGCACATGTAGTTTCGAGCCAATGCATACTTGAAGCACAGCTGGATAGCAGTTTTCATAAGAGCAATCTAAGCTCTTACAAAAGAGCTTTGGAAGCAGGTTTTTCTTCTAGTAAGTTTACATCTGCTCCTTGTTCCCTGCTTAAGAGGAAAGTGGGGTGGCTCTGGCACATTCGGTAAAGCTTGCGAGCATACTTTACCTACTGCTAGGCCATGGCTAGACTGCAGATCCCTTCAATGAGAGGCCACACATGTGTGCCCATTCTGCAACCTTGGCATTTGAGAAGGCTCAGAGACCTTAATTGGATGAAGGATTAAAGAAGAAAATGGTTTCATGGGCAGAATCTAAACCTTGCCTTCTAGTAAGGGGTAAATTTGCCATCTAAGAAGAAATGCATTCCTTTCAATGTATCTACAAAATTCCAATTGGACCAAATAGTGAATCTTTTAAGTTACCTTTTTACCCGCGCCCCGCCCACCCCGGCCCAGGCCAAAGCCACCTTAATTTAGTATGTGCGAGTGAACCCCAGAAACGTGCAGCTTTCTCGTCTTTAATGCTCCTGGTTGCTCTGAACAAAGTATCTGAGAGGGAGTCCGCTGTTTTTCTTTGTTCAGGGGAGGGGAGATGGCCCCAAACCCCTGCTTGTAACCCCTTCTCTCCTTTCTCCCCTAGGTTGGTCTCTTCACCATGATTCCCTGCGGAGCGGTGCTGACTTTTGCGCGATGTTTGATCCGGAGAAAAATCGTCACACTGGACAGTCTGGAAGATTCCAAGCTCTGCCGCTGCTTAACTACCATGGACCTCATCGCCCTGGGAGTTGGAAGCACTCTTGGCGCTGGGGTTTATGTCTTGGCTGGGGAAGTCGCCAAAGCAGATTCTGGCCCCAGTATCGTGGTGTCCTTCCTCATCGCTGCCCTGGCCTCGGTGATGGCCGGCCTTTGCTATGCTGAATTTGGGGCCCGGGTTCCCAAAACTGGATCTGCTTATCTGTACACTTACGTAACGGTTGGAGAACTGTGGGCCTTCATCACTGGCTGGAATCTCATTCTGTCATATGTCATAGGTATATTTCAAAAACAAATATCAGGGTATACAGGGTAAAAATAGCTCTCCAGAGAGCCTTGGCACTAGGGTTAAACCTGTGCTTCTCAGCTGTGGGGTGCTTCTGAGAGAATCATTTGTTCCCTGTCTCATTTTTGTCATCTCTAAATTACGCCCACATTGCCGAAGTCTCTGATTTCACTTCCCCTTTGAATTCATGATTCTTAATGAGTTTGAAAGTGGTTTGAAGTTTTCAGAATACCTTTTTTTTTCTTTTCATGAGTGTGTGTGTGTGTGTGTGTGTGTGTGTGTGTGTGTGTTCACATGTATGCTGCTGCACATGCTTCTGTCTTCAGGTGCACGGGAAGGGCAGGGAATGTGTCTGGAAGTTTCCTCGTTTGCTCTTCTGTTTTGTGCTCAGAGGTAGGAGATCTCTGTCGAGCCCAGTGGTTACATTCCTCCAGCTAGCCTTGGCTGGCTTGTTCTGGGGCACTGCCTCTGCCTTCTGAGGCTAGACCTACCGGCTGTGCTCCCCAGTGGTCGTTCCTTAAGGGTCTGAATTGATATCTTGCTTGTACAGCAAGTGTTTTAACTGTGTGGCTATCTCCCTAGCCTCTAAATAGTTCTTTATTGCAAATAAAGTTGCCTGGTAAGACCATTTACACACCTATATGCTGTCTGCCCAGGCTGCATAGCAAGACCCTGCCTCAAAAAAAAAAGTATTCTTGTCATACATATATTACTATATGTATAGTAATATATAGCTTTTTATATGTACAAATATAAATATATGATATAATATATAGTAATTTGGCTTTCTAATAGGGTTAAAGTTTTCAGTCAGTGTGAATTAAGCCAGGTTTATCCAGCAAACAACTAAGCAGGTGAGTTCTGTTAATTTTCTACCAGTAACCTTTTATTCTCTGAATGTTCTGCTTTGGGAAGGTACATCCAGTGTTGCAAGAGCATGGAGTGGCACCTTCGATGAGCTTCTTAACAAACAGATTGGTCAGTTTTTCAAGACATACTTCAAAATGAATTACACCGGGCTGGCCGAGTATCCAGACTTTTTTGCTGTGTGCCTTATATTACTTCTGGCAGGTAAGAAAAACAATCATGTGCTGATCCCTGTAACAAACCACACCAGTGGGCCCTGACAAAGTAGGTTACAGATTTGAAGCCGGGGTTCTCTGAAGGAGGTCAGCATATCATGTCAAGGCCCGTACATTCAGTGTTGGGTCACTGCGGGCTTCATCTCCTCTATGTTTCTCAATAGGATTAAATGTGCATGAAAGCGAGAGCCCTCGCTTTGGAGGAGAAGGAACCTGGAATTCAGTAAGTCATAGGATGGAGATGTCAGCTTTTGCTTGGAGAGTGTCAGGTTGTTTAGTACTAATAAGAGACGTTCAAGAATGGGAAGGGCATTTCTATAAGAAAAAACGTAGAATTTCATGGTGTTGTTTCATCATGTTAAATGCAACCAGGGTTGTTAGCAAACATCATTTCTAGAAAAAAAAGTAGTATTTTCTGTCATGTATTCACTGCAGCCTTGTGTTTGAAAGGAAGCGTTCAGTTCGTTGGGCATTTTCTAATGCAGATATTAATTGAGAGACGCTGGGCATTTTCTAATGCAGATATCCCATTGAGAGACATACTTGCTGTAGGACAATAGCGTGGTACAATAGTGCCTTAAAGAGGCTCAGAAACGACAGTGGGAGCACCTGGGCTTTCCATCTTTCTCTGCTCTCGCTACTTGCAGAGTCTGAGAGGCATGCTTCGCCCTTTCCTCCCTCAGTATGTTCATCCGTGAAATGTGAGTACCACAGATGCCTCACACCGCTCCTTGCTCGGAGTGCAGTATACACCAGATGGCAGCCAGTCCTGTTTTGAAAGCATAGTTAATCCCTGTTGTCCCTTACATTGATTATTTGGACATTTTCTATTATGGCTGTCCTTCTTGTCTACAGACCCTCTTGAGCCGGTCTGTTTGTTCCGGATTCTTTCTTGATTTACCCTGAGTAACTGGCTCCTTGGTTTCCTGTCCAGCCTCATCTCTGTGTTCTCCCTGGGCTTGATGAATGTGACAGAAGTAATTTTTCTATTAGGAAATGTTTTACCTGGACAAGTTCATGGTTCACAAAGTACCTTTATATTTTTAAAAATCTGTTATTAAAAAATTGTAAAGGAAAGGACGCACACATGAACAAATTTCAGAGGTCTAAAATATTGTGTACCTTGCTTCTAGTGTTGAGAGACTGGGTTAAGGGTCAGTAACATGGATAAGTGGGTAAAGGTGACTGCCGTTAAGCCTGAAGACCCAAGTTCAGTCCCCCAGTGAAATGAGAAACACCAACTCCCAAAAGGTGTCATTTTACTTCTGCACTCGAGCTCACTCCACCTCCCTCCCCACCCAACAAATAGGTTTAATTTCACTAATTTTTTAAAGAAATACATGCATTATTTTTCATTAAATGGCATTGAATGAACTTCATTGACTCGGTTTAGTTTCTAAACAGCCTAGTTAGTGTTATCATGTTTTATTTGGAAATGGCTTCAATAAACTTAACATATTCAGCTTTATCCTTTTTAATAATGAGAAGCCCATAGCTTTGACACATGTTCAGAACTGTTAAATCTATAACAACGAGACCTCGGCTTTAGGCTGAGTCTTCATCCTCTGTTCATCGACCTTCAGTCTTCTCTTTAAATGTAGTATAAACTTACATTAGAACTTGCTTCCTGGACTGTTTGAAAATTTAAATCTCCCATTGTAAGTGTTTGCTCAAAGTGCAATGCCGTATGTCTGCTGGAAGTTGTTTTGGTAAAGCCACAAGGGGAGTAGGTGCAGCCTTCAGATGGGGCATTTATTGGAATCTAATCTGTTGGTGGCAGATAAGAACTCAAGTAGAGCATGTGTTGGCATGTTTGGAACCGAACAGGAAACATGGCTGTGGCTTTGTTCTTGGAGGTGTACACCAGAGGCGTCTAACCCAGTAGCCAATGGCAGAGTCCGTAGTTGTGCCAACCCCACAGCGTTCCTTTGTGCCCTCAGTGTAACTTTCGTTATGTCAGAATGCAAGCTGTACATGCAGGAGAGGAAAGCGCAGCTGCTCTCATCTATGCTTGCACAGCTCTGCTTCTGCGATGCTGGGTGCTGAGGATACAGGGCAGAGCCTAGCACATCTGCGGCACTGTGTTTTCATAGCAACCGCTGCCCCAGCAGTGAGAGTGGAACTAAGATCCGTACTTCATTTACCATGTCAGGTGCGTTAAAGATGCACATAGGATAAGTGTAATAAGCATTTAAAAACCGAAAGGAGGGTTGAAGTTTTGGGGGAAGTCTTATTAAAAGTAGATACTAAAATAGGTCCCTGTGGGTTATTCTAACAAATTGTTACATTTGTAGGCAATGTGTTAAGGTTAAAAGCAAGTTATTGGGCTGGGAGTGAATTCTTTGTGAGCATTTGCCTAACACACACAAGGCCATTGCTCTAAGTTAACCCCTGAAATAAACCAAGTGAAGTGATTCCTAAAATGATGGAGATGGAAAATATATACCATGAATGACTGGCAGGGAGCTGATAACATTAATATATAAATACCTCTTATAAATCAGTTTGAATAAAATACTCTGACTTAAAACATGTGTAATGTAAATGGGGCCAGATCTTGTTTTGTATAAAAATGCGTGTCCTGGGGTTGGGAAGAGGACTCGGTGGATAAAATGCTGACGTGAAAGCATGAAAATGCGAGTCTGGGTCTCCAGAAGTCATCTAAAAGCTGGGCATGGCAACACGCATCTGTAGCCCCAGCACTGGGGTGGGGGTACCGGGCAGGTGGGGACCGGAATCCATAGAGCCTATTGGACAGCTAGCCTCGTCAACCGCGGAGCATGGATGCAGTGGGAGACAGACCTGTCTCACAGATGAAGTACAGAGCAATCAAGGGGGACGCGCACAGCAGCCTCTGACCTCCAAGTGCATTCTCATGCACGCATGCGCACACCCACACAGACATGTGTACATACCACACACACACACACACACACACACACACACAGTGCATGCCCTCCCACACACTCTTAATTTGTAGACTATTGTAAGGAAAATGTTAGAAAATGCAGGGGGGGGTATTAATAAGATGTCAGTGACGTCAGTGCTGTTTACAAAATAAAACCTAGAGTGACCTAATTGTCTATAAATAAGGGATTAAAGTATCTCCCCATAGTGTGTCACACAGCTGCTAAAACTGATGATGATAAATATGTTGGTGCAGAAATATCTGTGGGGATACCATAGCTGATCTTTATTCTTTATACTGTTTTTTTTTCAAACTACTTGAATAAGATATTTACATCCTAATATAAAGTAGATCTGTCAGGTGAGAACTGATTTCACAGAGAGCATTTTTGGCATAGCCCTTAAGAGAATTCTTTTCTGGTGATATAATCAGAAGGTGCACGGCAGACTTTTACATTAGCCCTGGAATAGCTTTTAAGGGCAGCCTTTTAAATGAGGTGTTGTGCCTGTGCCTACCATGGTAATAATAACCAGAGTTACTAGACTTACACAGATAGTGTGGAACTCTTGACCGTGACCATAGCCCGCTTCCAGAAATCAAAACCAGTGGTGTCTCCATAGGCATTGCTTCACAAAAAAAAAAAAAAAAAAGATTAATGACTGAACTAGCCATAGAATTGAAGAAATGGGACGTAAATGTATGGATACTGGTGCAATACTAGCCAATGCATTTATTGGCATCAGGAGAGCATTGTCTTTTGCGAGGGTGAATGGCCCACATCATTGCCTTCTCTTTTCTCCATAGGTCTGCTGTCTTTTGGAGTAAAGGAGTCTGCTTGGGTGAATAAATTCTTCACGGCTATTAATATCCTGGTCCTCCTCTTTGTAATGGTGGCCGGGTTTGTGAAAGGAAATGTGGCTAACTGGAAGATCAGTGAAGACTTTCTCAAAAATATATCAGCCAGTGCCAGGTAAACTATTTAGTCCCTCTCCCGCTCCCGCTCCCCCTCCCCGCTCCCCTTTCTCTGTTATATTTTAAGAGAACATTATTCGCAAGTTCTCTGAAGAGCATCAGTTCTCAGTCCTGTAGCAGCTGAGACCTTTCTGGGGGATGGTTCTAGGGGGCGGCTCCTCTTCCCAGGCTTCCCATACTAAGATCTGGGTGTGCTTCCCCCTGAGCCTCTATGTGAAGCTGCGCAGCTGCCGGCTCCCAGGGCAGCCTCTAGGGCAGAGTCTAGCCCCTGCCCGAGCTCGCCCTTGGCTCCCCACTAGTTCACCACCTCTGAAGAACTGGGAATATTTTTGATTCTTGCATCCTGTGGTTTCTCCTTTGGGGCCATCAGTTTCATTGGGATGCCTTCTGGCGTTTAAGAATTTTGGAAGCTAGGCGTGGCGGTGCACACCTATAATTCCAGTATTTGGGAAACAGAGGCAGGAGGATCTCTTAGTTGGAGACCAGCCTGATGTATAGAGTAAGTCGCAGGACAACTAGAGCTACACTGAGAATCCCTTGAAAACTATTTGGGAGCCTGTCCTAGTTTGGGTTTCTGCTGCTGTGAGGAGACACCGTGAACACAGAAACTCTGATAAAGGAAAGCATTTAGTCGGCTGGCTTCCAGTTTAAGAGCGTTGGTCCATTATCATCATGGTGGGACATGGCGTCACGCAGGCAGCCATCATGCTGGAGAAGGAGCTGCATCTTGGTCCCGAAGGCAACAGGAAGTGGTCTGAGACACTGGGCGTGGCTTGAGTATAAATGAAACCTTAAAGCCCACCCCCCACAGCGACACACTTTCTCCAATAAGGCCACACCTCCCATTACTGCCATTCATTTGGGGGCCATTTTGTTCTTATTAGTAGTATTAGTTTCCTAAGTGGAAAAAAGATTGCAGAGGTATCTATTACATGTTGTAAGGTATAAGTATGTGTTTTTTTTAATTTATTTATGCCATTGATAGTGTCTACTAATTTTTATAGTTTTTACTATATGGTAAAACGTGACACTTTCATTATGATTAATCAAGCCTATGGGATTCTTCTGTTCTACTTTTTCAACTACATTCTAAGTAAATTTTATGGGCTTTTTATATTTTTATTTTATTTGTTCAGTGTGTACGTTTGTGTGCATCTGGGTGTGAGTGTATGTCTGTGTGTGGGGAGGGGGTATGGTGTGTGTTTGTGACTGAGATGAATGTGTAGATGTTGGAAGACCGTTTGCAGGAGTTGATTGCCTTCTTCCAAGATAATGTTCTGGCTCTGGGAATCAAACTGGTTGCCAGGCTTGGAGATAAGTGCTTTTACATTGTCACCAGTCTATATCTGAGTCAGCTCACCAGCCCCTTAAATGAATTTTAAAGATGTACGGTCTACCTTTCTTTTTTGTTTCATGAGTTAAGAATTGATTCTTTGAGGGGAGGGGATGAAGAGAAAGTTTCTCACCTTTATCGTAGAACATGGCTCACATGCGGGATCTCAGATGTCAAAATCCTGCTTGCCTGTGTGCTCCATCTAGGGCATGTCTGTGTAGATCAGCACAGTGTGCTCGCAAGAGGACTGACACAAGTTTAAGTCTAGCCTGAGCTATGTTGCAGATCCCAGGCCAATGTGGGCTCATAGTGAGAACCTCTCTGCCTCTCTCTCTCTCTATCTCTCTCTCACACATACACTCTCTCTCACACACACAGACACACACACATTCTCTCTCTCTCTCTCACACACACACACATTCTCTCTCTCTCTGTCTCTCTCTCTCTCTGTCTCTCTGTCTCTCTCTCTCACACACACACAATTTGGCCTGGGCCTTCTGTATTTGTCGTTGAATAGCCTGTAATTGGATGTCATGACACAGAGGGTCATTGTGAGGGAGTCTGCCATGTTCTCGAGAAGAAGGTGACAGAATAAAGTTGTGGGTTTATATACATTAGCTCCAAAGAGCCAATGAGCACCAGCAGTCTTCCAAGGATGTGGTCTGAGAGAAATCACCAGAAGGTACAGTTTCCATGAAGCAGCTGACAGGGTCTGTTCTTTTCTTCAGAGAACCACCTTCTGAAAATGGAACAAGCATCTATGGGGCTGGTGGCTTTATGCCCTATGGCTTCACGGGAACCTTGGCTGGTGCTGCGACCTGCTTTTATGCCTTTGTGGGCTTTGACTGCATTGCAACGACTGGTAAGGGCAGTGCAGGGGTACCACAGGGGTAGCCACGGGTACAGCAGAGGGTCAGGGAGAGAGGTTGAGATGTAGGGTGGGAAGGGCACCAACTCCAGGTCCACTTGCCACCCGTGCTGCATCTGCTACGAAAGCCACTTGATGAAACTCACAGAGCATCGGTCCTGTCAAGAGCTGCCTGAGGATGTTATGATGACAACCTAAGCCTGCACATCTGGCTGACCAGATGAGTGATCTTAAACGATGCTCAGTTCCATCCTTAACCTTTTAACTAAAAGTTCTGTCCCCTGCAGATGGTCATTGCCTTAAATTGTCTTTTCATTCTTCACCAGGCAAAATATTATACCAACTCTTTTCTCTTGATGCCAAGTGACAAAATACTCATCCACTATCTTTCAGGGTTCCCCCTGAATAGCCTTGTAACTGACTGTGTCTGGAGAGCTTCAAATGTTAATCTTGTGAGAAGGATATTTTGATTTTTTTTATAGAAACTAAAGTTTCATATAAATAAATGAAATAAGTTTGCTTGAAACCTTGCAGTTCAAAAGCTTACAGAGTACCAGTGTGACTGTTTCCCAAATGACATCAACTGCCTTTCTAGACCTAAACACTTGAGCGTGCTCATGCGTTTTTCCACACACACACACACACCCTTTTGAAGATAGAAAACTGACTTGTTGTATATATTCCATTCTTTTCTTCTTCTTCTGACAGTTGGATCATTTTTTGTTACTAGCGAAGTATCCTGTAGAAGAGAAGGGAAACTTTATAGGAAATAGATAGAACCCACTAAGAATGCAGAAGGGGCCGGGCGTTGGTGGCGCACGCCTTTAGTCCCAGCACTCGGGAGGCAGAGGCAGGCGGATCTCTGTGAGTTCGAGGCCAGCCTGGTGTACAAAGCGAGTTCCAGGACAGCCTCCAAAGCTACAGAGAAACCCTGTCTCGAAAAACCAAAAAAAAAAAAAAAAAAAAAAGAATGCAGAAGGGACAAAAACATGGTAGAATGACCACTGAGGAGGGGAATTTGATCGACAGGAAGTTCCTAAGCTGTTTAGCTGTTTACTAACCATGCACACCTTCTGTTTGTGTTTCCTTAGGTGAAGAGGTCCGGAACCCCCAAAAAGCTATCCCCATTGGAATAGTGACTTCCCTACTGGTTTGCTTTATGGCTTATTTTGGGGTTTCTGCAGCTTTAACGCTTATGATGCCTTACTACCTCCTGGATGAGAAAAGCCCACTCCCTGTAGCGTTTGAATACGTTGGATGGGGTCCTGCCAAATATGTTGTTGCAGCAGGATCCCTCTGCGCCTTGTCAACAAGGTACATTGTACTGTCCTTTGGACCGGGGCTCTTAGGGGTCTTACAAAGTGTAGTCAATGTCTTCGGATTTGCTTTCGTGGGTTTTAAGGATAGTTCTGTGGTGGAATGCTTGACTGGAGGCCCTGGGCCAGCACCATAGCCACTGCTACCACAAGATTGATTTCATATAGTCTAAAAATATCCTAACATGAGGAATGCATTATACAACTATGCACACAATGACTAGTTTGCACAGAATCACTGTCTAGAAATTTTGAGATATTACAAAGATGTTAAGTGACCATCATCAGCTGAGTCAGTTTTTTTTTTTCAGTATAATGGTGGTCTAAGTTTCAATAGTAACTTAGCACTGGGACACATACATATCTGTGTCATACATAATAAAGTATTATGTTAGACATCTTTGAGATGTTCATGCTGCTGGCATCAGTATTGCTTGCATTGGTTCAGTCGGAGATTATACATAGACTTCACACTTGGGACAATTCTTCATGAAACAGTGTGCCTGGGACTAGAAGGCATATGCTGTGTCATTTTTTAAATGTACTTTTTTCCTTTAGCTCTGATCAGAATGTATTTACTCAAGAGACAGAACATACCATTCTGAAATTACCAGCAGAAATTCTTTATTTATGTGAAAAGGGAATTTGACTGTCAAACTTTCAAATTAGCTACTTACTTAATACGTTGTAGTTCATGCCTCGGGTTTCCAGAGCCTCTCTCTCATATGATCTGAAACAAAGCATCTGATTCTAGTTCATGCATGCCATACTTCATAGTATAAATTTCTCACACAGGGAAAAGCTATTGCCTGAGAATTCCTTTTCAAAATTGAAAACACTTCTCACAGTTCTGAAACTAGAAATTTTTCTCAATATAATTTATCAACGTGGCTTTTATTTTTTTTTCTTTCAAATATGTTTTTAGTTTCTAGTCCCAACAATACTAAGTAAGTTTGGGAATTCTTAGTCATCTGCTGTTAATGGGATTCACTAGGAAGAATTTTGAAGAGTTTAAAGTCCAAACTTTGATTATGTGGTGTCACCATGATCTTCAAAGGGGTGAAAAGAGTCCCCTGTAACTACATCAACTATTAATGCACATTCCACTACTATGGTTGGTCCTTACACACACACACACACACACACACACACACACACACACATACACGCACACACACACACACACACACACACACACACACTGAATTTTTGGAAACATTAGCTATGCTGTCAACTTTGAAAAAAGGTTTCTCAATTTACTGTGTTGAGTTGGTATTGTACAGAAACCAACAGCCATATTAGCTTAGAAATGCTAAACTTATTTTTTTCATTTATGCAAGGATAACACACTATATTAAATATATATGGTCTTACTTATGTGGGTTTGGTAACAGAAACTAATAAAGTATTCCGTAAATAATGGGGAAAAGATAAAGAAAATAAATAGATATTTTTGGAGACAAGATCTTGTTATATAGCCACAGCTGGCCTGGCACACACTATGAAGTCCAAGCTACCCCAAACGTTCAGCAGTCTTCTGCCTCAGCGTCTCAACTGATAGGGTGTTAGGCATGAACCACCATGCCCAGCCCTTCCAAAAAATAGACCTCCAAAATCAAATATTTTACCTCTTTTTCTTAAGTAGTTACTTTCACAACTGAATCATCTGTGGAATGACACAAGCAATAAACATAAAAAATTCAATTTATTGTAAGCAACAATTGCACATTAAACCTCACTGTTACTAACATTTAATTGTAGCTCCTTCTATATACTAAATCTATAGTACGTTGTTTTAAGCCATTCTTTACCTTAATAATTTTGATGCTTGGAGCTATTACTTGTAGCAAAGGTCAAGCTATAGGATGTAAGATCATAGTAATATGAAAATATATAATCACTGTATAAATGGGTGACTTACTGTGACATAAAATTGATTAATCTTTTTAATTACCCATTAATTTGGGAATTTTGTTTTCTGAATTATTAACACTAAAACATCTCAGTGTTTCATACTTAATTTTATTTTGCAAAGCCTAATTCAGTTTTAATTCCGTAACAACCATGGATATAAACAAATGACTTGCAATATTGTTTTTAATCTTATAATTTTGTTGGGCAAATATTTATCAGAGTAATGAGCAACACCATGGCCATTATTGGCAGGTGTGTTTAAATGCCCAACCGTAGTGCACTGTAAGACTATGTGAGTCCTTGATCCCAGCTGCCATGCTGAATGTTATACAATCACTGTGTTTCTATTCGGGGTGTGATCATGCATGACTGTGTTTGCCATACTGCATGTCTTTGCTTTTTACTCAGTCTTCTTGGATCCATTTTCCCAATGCCTCGTGTAATCTATGCTATGGCGGAGGATGGGTTGCTTTTCAAATGTCTAGCTCAAATCAATTCCAAAACGAAGACACCAATAATTGCTACTTTGTCATCGGGTGCTGTGGCAGGTGAGAGCGTTGACTTTTACTAAGAAAAGGGGGATCGTTTTCATCAAGAGCTCTGGAGAATGTGGACAGTTAGGTGGTTTTCTGTTTTGGTTAACATAAACTTGAATAACTTTGTGACTTTCCTATTTTGATTTCTTTGTGTACCTATATGTACCCTTGCAGAATAATACTCAACTCACATTGGATTATGAATTTTTCTGTTCTAGTCTTCTGGGTTCTATGTTCCCCTTACCCCGCATTCTGTTTGCCATGGCCCGGGATGGCTTACTGTTTAGATTTCTTGCGCAAGTGAGTAAGAGGCAGTCACCCGTTGCTGCCACGTTGACTGCGGGGGTCATTGCTGGTAAGCCTTACAAACACAGGTTTCTCCATCATTGGACTAAAATGTGCTGTGCGCATGCATGGACTTAAAAAGGGTCTGCATGCTGTGCATGTAAGTTAAGAGCCAAATCATGGGTAAATTAGTGTGTGGGTATTGGAATTAACATCTGACAATTATGGTGATGGTGAAAACACTGAAATTCATTCATAGCTAATCACTGGGGATTCTGTTTTTACTACTTTAACCGTTCAGGCATCTAACCAATGTGTGTAAAGAGTTATGAATGACTCGCCACTATATTAGGTATCACTCTTCTAACTGATGAATAAGTTATAATTTGGGCACAGAATAATTTCTAAATCGAATCATGGCTTAATATTGGATTGTGGGAAGGACTTTTTTTTTTTTTTTTTTTTACGAGACAGGGTTTCTCTGTATTGTTTTGGAGGCTGTCGGACCAGCCCTGCCTCGAACTCACAGAGATCCGCCTGCTTCTGCCTCCTGAGTGCTGGGATTAAAGGCATGGGCCACCACCGCCAGGCAGGAAGGACTTTTGAAAAGCTAAACTCCACCAATTCTTAGACTAATGTAAGAAAAATGCCAAAGATAACCCGAAGTTGGCTGTTGTCCTCACTGCCCAGCAGGGTTAGACTTGCACCTTCTCAGTCCCCAGTAGGAACCTGGTTGTCCTCAATAGTTTGGACATGTAGGTTTTGCTCCTAGAATCCAGATTGCCTATGTTTTGATATGCTATAATTAATGTCCATGCCAACTGCCTCTGACCAGATTCTTAGAGCGTGTGGAAGTTTCCAGGGACCGTATGGACCGAGACAATGGTCGTAAGTGCCTGACTCAGGAAGGAGAGGAAGACTGTAGCGAGCTTTATAGCAAAGTGAATTGAAGCTGTCTGAGGAGCAGATGTTCAAATAAGATCTCTGACGTTGTTTAGACTCTAGCGTGCTAGGAAGTTGGGATCAAGAATGTTTTGTTCCATACGAAGCCAGTGTTTCTTTCAAGTCAGGAAGTATGTGTATAAGTAGTTTTCACCTGGCAGATCTAAATCTGACACTTGACGTATGTGAGAAAGTCAAATCACTTATTTTTCTCAGGCTTAAATCTCTGCCCCAATAAAATGGAGATTCTTCTAGGTCAGTGGTTATCAACATGTGGGTTTCGACCCCTTTGGGGTCATGTATTAGACATCCAGCATGTAAGAATAATTTATTTTGCCAGTAGAAAAAATTACAGTTATGAGGGAACAATGAAACAATTTATTGTTGGGGGTCACCATAACATGAGGAACTGTACTAAGGGTCAAAGCATTAGGAAGGTTTAGAACCAGTTTATTGTAATGTTAGAGATGAGCCATGTCATAAATAATTCTCCACAAAGTGGAAACCTTCCCATTAATAATTCTTCTTGGAATATAGAATTTTAAAGATAATTTAGCTTTTCCTTCATTTAGGAAGAGTGAAATTTAACAGTTTAATAAGACAGTTAATGGTGGAATGCTTTCTAAAATATTGTGTATTTTACATTTCTTGTACCCAAATTTGCATGTTTTTAATTTAGATCAGAGAGTTTATATGAATAATCAGCATTTGGCTATTTGTGGTCATTACAAGCATGATACAATTTAATAATCTATTATATGGTTATACTAGTAATGAAGTCTTTGCCTAGCAAGGCATGTGGTGCGTATTCAGAGAGAAGATGAAATACTGTGTGGTTGTAAGGACAGGAAAAGCCCTGTCTATATCTACCCATTGTAACCTTACATCAACCTGTCTATAAAACAGGAATAATCCTATCAAGGAAGACTGGGAAGTTGCTGGATTTGGTTTAAAAATTAATTAATTAATTAATTAATTAATAGTCAAATAAAAAGCAATTCCCTCTGCCTCCTAGGATCATTGATTGAAGATAAGTGAGTTCATAGACTATAAAATATGTAAAGAGGTCTAGGACACCATGTAAATTGAACATGGTGTTATCTATTTACAGAGATAGAGAGTATTATGTAGTAAGTTCAGCTAAAATAAGGTATTTTTACTTTTTAACATTGTCAAGATTTGGTGTACAGGATCGTAAGTTGATCTTTCACATCTAATCAGTCTTCTAAAGCATGTGACTTTAATTTGACTAATGTGATTTCATTGAAAAATAAGTATTATTTTTGTAAAGACTATTTAAAATGTTTTAAGTTGCTTATGACTTGATAATGTAACCAGAAAACTGGTATTTCCTAGCAAATGTTTGTTTACCTTCCAAGACCTCGAAAGACAGTATTCTGTCATATAATATTTTCACACTTAGTGAAGCCAAGTTTGTTTTTAAATAATTATACCTGATGTATTTAGTACTTCCTAAAGAGCTGGGGTCTTTGTAGTCTTAATGTTAGCAGTCTATGTGGACCAGAGACCATCTTATGATGTGACGTTGATCTGTCATTGGTACCAAAACAGAAAAGTGTCAGTCAGCTGTTCCTGACTGAGTGAACAGCTATAAGAAATGTCCTCAGAGGCCTTTGGTTTGACCTTTCTTGTCTGTTTCCCAACAGCTGTGATGGCTTTCCTTTTTGACCTGAAGGCTCTTGTGGACATGATGTCCATTGGCACCCTCATGGCCTACTCTCTGGTCGCAGCCTGTGTGCTCATCCTCAGGTGACTGCTGGTTCTGAAGGGCCCGTGCTGGGTGGGATACAGGGAGTAGAGACAGTAAGGACTGCAGAGAGTCAGCGGTTTCACCAAAGTGGAAGGCCGTGGCCATTAAAGCAGTAAGATGGAGTATGGGGAGCAGATGTGGCTTTCAGCAAAAAGTCAAGTAGAGTTTGAACCTTACCAATGCTTGTCCCAGTCTCCAAGGCAGTCTATTCACGTGTGGAGGAACATAAACATGTTGTAACTTTGGACTTGTAAATACTAGCAGACTGACAAATAGAGCCCTATTTGACTGTCTTGACTGCTCCATAATACTGCCTTTGTTATATTAGCAATACAGCCTGATACTTTTTCAAGCCAATAAATGTATATCTATCAAATATGTGTACTTATTAGTACTTTTGGCATTAGTAATTTAGTGCTAAGGTTTTTTCATAAAGACCTTATCAAGGAGACACCAACAAATAGATGTAGATGATAGTCACAGAAAAGGTAGATTGACAAGTATGAAGAAAACATGAATATGAGTAACATCACTAGAATAGTGACGTAAATGAAGGTGCATGTATCCAGTAGCTTCTTCTACAGTAAAAACTAATATTTTGGCATATAGATAACTATTCCAGTTTGAAGGGACAAAGCCATAGTGCTTGAATTTGTATTAATAACATTATAAATTTACATTAAGAAATAATAAATGTTTATGTATGCAAACATGCCAGGATGAACTTGTACCAAAATGCTAATGGTATAGGTACTAGGAAGAGAAGCACGCTATGCTGATGAGCTCTAGAGGAACAGGGCAAATAACAGAGGAAAATGTTGCCATGGGGTAGTTGGGTGTCCCAGTAGCTGTGTGAGCATTTCTGGGTGGAGCTAGATGAATCAGGACACATGGGCAGAGGGACAGACGCTGATAGGAGTCTTTGAGTTTGAAGCCGGAGACTCTGTACTCCAAAGCTTGTGGCTGTTTCTGTGATATATTCATGGATTACAATTCCATTGGGCACCAGAGGCTTCAGATACCATCCTGCTTCACCTTAATTTTAACTTAACTTTTTGGCATCTACTGTACAACTTTCTGACTAAATAGCAATGTGAGTGGATTCAGAGTTGCTGTTCAGATCTGATTAAGAGGTTTGTAGCCTGGCTCAGTACACTGAGTTGGAGACATGAGATGTGTCACCTGACTACACACATGGTGGCTTTGTAAAGTGTCTCACCAAGGAGTGTATGGTGACAATTTCATTTGGGCCAATGAAAGTAAAGACACTGATATTTATTTGGGGATAGGTACCAACCTGGCTTGTGTTATGAGCAGCCCAAATACACCCCTGAGAAGGAAATTCTGGACTCATGTACCAGTGCGACTTCGAAAAGCGAGTCCCAGGTCACCATGCTGCAAGGACAGGGCTTCAGCCTCCAGACCCTCTTCAACCCCTCTGCTCTGCCCACACGACAGTCGGCTTCCCTCGTGAGCTTTCTCGTGGGATTCCTGGGTAAGTCTCCACCGCAGCTGTCGAAAGGTCCAACAGATACGGGTGGGTGGAACCAGCATGTGTGGAAGGCAAAGGACAGGGCCTCACGTTGCCTGGGATACCTTAGCAGCCAACTTGAGACAGGAGATTTGACCTAGAGAGGGACTGGTAGTTGAGGCTGTGTTGTGTTACGTAGGAAGATTTGTGAGCTGGAGAGATGGCTCTGTGGGTAGCACGCGCTGTACAAATGTCAGGCTCTGAGTTAAGATTCCCAAAACCCCCGTGAAGCTGGGTAAGCATGCCTGTAGCTCCAGTGTGACCATGGCAAGGTGGGAGTTAGAAAGAGAATTCGCCGGTAGCTTCCTGTACACAGTGGCAAATAAGAGACCCTACCTCAAACAAGGTGGCAAGTGGCAACCAGCGTCCAAGGCCATGCTTTGTCCTCCTCAGGCGTGCTATGACACACATGCTCCCACAGTTGCACACATGCACACGAGAGCAAGGAATTCTGCAGTAAGAGTGGCAGAATTATAAACTGGCACACTCCATTAGCGCAAGGTAATCCATTAAAGAATCGGGTCAGGTAGCAGAGCTGGAACCCGATGGTTTTGGGAAACAATATAGGGAAGACTTGTCTGCACATCTGGCTACCTGATCTTCTGTATGTTTAGTGACATCTACTGGGCATTATCTGTGTGCCAAGTACTGTTCTGGACACTTGGAATAGTGAGACAGACTGTCCTTGCTCCTGAGGATTGTACAATAAGGTCATGGCAAACGAGGAAGAAACAGATTTCCCTGAGAGTAAATAGGAGGGACTTTTATTTATCACATTCTTGGTGATCAGAAGAAACCTGATATCATTGCCTGGAATGTGGAAGAGAGATTCAGATCATGCGATATTGTTTGTTTGCACTAACAAATAGCCTTCGTAACAGCCTAAAATAAGCAAAGCTGCTATACTTCATTTGAGAAAAAAAATTGAAAGCCACACACCACCAGAAACATCCTATCCATATGGTCTGAGGATAGGAAATTTGGGGCCCTGGTCACATGACGGACAAAGCCGGATGCTGTCTCTTGTTCACAGGAGAAAAGAAGTGAGGGGTCTGTGGCAAAGCAGATGACAGAGAAATTGATGTTGTGCCAGGATAGGTCACTAGACCTGAGAGACATGAGGGAAGGATGTGAGCTGACTCTGCCTTGTGTTCTGACCACCACAGCCTTTCTCATCTTGGGCATGAGCATCCTAACCACGTATGGCGTCCAGGCCATTGCCAGACTGGAAGCCTGGAGTCTGGCTCTCCTCGCCCTGTTTCTTGTCCTCTTCGCTGCCATCATTCTGACCATTTGGAGGCAGCCACAGAATCAGCAAAAAGTGGCCTTCATGGTATGTGAAATAGTAATTGGAAATCCTAATTGTTACGTACACTCCCTCTGTGTGTTGTCTGTGTTTGTTTCATTTTTCTAAGCAAAAGCAAGCAGTGAATAAGCTTGTCAGAATCTTTGATGAATTCCCTTTAGTCACAGTACGTGAGTTGTCTCACTCCCCTTCTCAAAAACTTGAGCATTCATACATACAGACAGTGAACAAATTTTGTGTTGCACAGTCTGTAGTACCAGAAAAATAATTCATGAGATTATTAAAAGTTAAATGAAGATGGAAAGAAATGAAGGAAAGGAGATAATTTGAGGGTTTTATTTTCAGAAATTCGAAGTCCTCTTGTGAGGACTTATTCCCACCAGCTGCCTTCATCTGCAAGTTAAATTATCCTGCCCCACTGGAACTAGCAGTAGGTTTGGGTGTGGACAGAGCTTCCTGGAAGGGTTCCCCCAGGATGCTACATGTGTCCTGAGTTCTAGAAGCATTCCCTATTGATGACCAAATGAAACCAGTAACCTCTGAGCTACACAGATGCCTAAGCCCTGTGGGGTCTTGATGATCTACAGGTGTGACTGTGTTTCAACTTCAGCCAGTAATGTGAAAGGACATTTTCACTAGTTTTTACAGGGATGGTATTTGTTCAGGGTCTCCTTTTTCTTTATTTTTTTTGAGACTATAAATTTAGTGATATGATTACATATCAGATATCAACACCCCTTGCACTTACTTGGAGAATATGCTTTTACAGTAACACTATACTCACAGGCTGTTTCTTCCCATAGGTCCCGTTCTTACCCTTTCTGCCAGCCTTCAGCATCCTGGTCAACATTTACTTGATGGTCCAGTTAAGTGCAGACACTTGGGTCAGATTCAGCATCTGGATGGCGCTTGGTAGGTCTCGCGATGCCTTACACGTCTGGAGTCTGGTTCACCTTGCTTTGAGGGCTGTGGTTACAGAAATGGGCTCTCTCCCTTCCTAACACGGAAGGCTCTGCTCATTTCCTCCCATTCCGACTCCAACTCGATGCTTACTTTCCCAGTGTTTTGTGATGCTTCTTCTTTGGTTTTTTTTTTCCCCCTTTATTTTTCTTTTCTTTTGCGCTGAGGACTCAGCTGAGGCCTCAGACATGCTCTCACAGGCCTGGATCGCTGAGCCACATCTCCAGCTGTTTTTCATTCAAATCTCCCAGTAACCTCGGAGTCCACACAGATTCTGTCTTCTCCAGCTAATGAATGAGAAAAATTTAGCCCCTCAGTTAGGTGTCATAACAATACCAAACCCTTACCCGGCTTTCTAAACTAGGATTAAGCATGGGGATATACATTTAAAGGTAATTATCTTCTAAGGATGACACTTAAAGCATTGCCTCCTCCCGACAGTTAGCATGCTATTGACAGTCAATTTGTTCTCAGGCCTTAGGCCTCCCATTTGAGAGTAGCAGGTAAAAAGGTGTCCATGTCCATTGTGGACACAGGGCTTGCTTTCCAGACTACAGGACCGTGACGGTGACTCTGATAACCACTGCTGGGGTTTTGTGTGTCACGTGACTCCCCCATGATTCTGCCTAAAGTTATTCTGCTGAGCTTTGAGAACATAAGTGGGAAATTTCCACATAGCTGCTGGCCAGGAATACTCATTGAGAGAAAAATATATTCTCTAAGGTTGGGGTGTTAGAAATGAAGAGGTGCTTTCTAGCCAGATAGGAGGTCTGTGCAACATCTGATTTTTACATTCTGTTCCATGTTAAAAGATTTTCATTTTTACTTAAACATATTTTAATTTGTTTTTTATTTTTATTTGGCTATATTTTTTAATTGAAATACATTATACTACTTTCCTCCCTACCCGACCTCCAGCCCCACCCAGTTACCTCCCTCTAACTCCTCCCATCTACCCCACACACACATAAATTTAAGTTGATAGCCTCTAGAATTGCAGGCAACAGCTAACAACTGTTGAGGAAGGACAGTTAGCCTGTCCCAGGGACGAGCCCCCTTATTGGTTGTCAGTGCAGAGTGGCCAGCCCCGAAGCCCTATTCACATGAATAACAAAGGCAGACTTAGCCGGTTGAGCTTATATATGCACACATTCTCTTTCCCCAAGGTTGCACAGAGAGGGGGAGACTTACTATTATTGAGTTGTCCACATTGAAACATTTCCTAACACGTTGATGCGCTTTCTCTTCCCCCAAAGGCTTTCTGATTTACTTCGCTTATGGCATTAGACACAGCTTGGAGGGTAACCCCAGGGATGAAGAAGATGATGAAGATGTCTATGTAGACAACATCAATGCAGCAACAGAAGAGAAAGCTGCCATGCAAGCAAACGACCATCACCAAAGAAGCTTCAGTTTACCTTTCATATTCCACGAAAAGACAAGCGAATGCTGATGCTGACCACGGTCTGACCACACATCACTTACAAGGAGTAAACTATGGCAGGCCGTCACCATCATGCTGGGATGTCATGGGTTTGTTGCAGACATGGTTCACCTAGCTTATAATTCCTCCTCCAGATAGCCTCTCTTCAGATGGTGAACTATGTGTCTGGGGAAAGTGCCTGAGCACACTCCTCATCAACAAGTACCCCAAAGTAATGTATGTTTGGGAATGTGAGTGTTACATGCTGTTGGTTTTTATTACTGTGTGACATTATCCCAGCATTGTAACGGGTGGCATATACTGCACATACTAGTGTAGAGTGTATTGCTGAATAGAGGTGTATTCTGTATATACCTAGGAGGTTAGGGAAATAGTAATGGTTTTCTCCTTGTTAGGCCTATGGTTATCAATTTGGACTTGCCGAAAATGCAGCCACGTGTCATGATGTTTAACAGTGGTCAGGGTCAAGGAGGAAATAAGGAACGAGCGTTTTCTGTACATTACAATGCCCTGGTAGAGTTATCACACACTTTCTTCTCCTACTTGCTAGAACAGTTTACTAAAACTTCAGCCAGGGGGGAATATTTGTTTCTTCTGTACGACAGGATAGAGAAAGAATCTGTGACACTAGATGGCCACTCTTGTTTTCGAGAGCCTTGGTCCTTAAATATAACACTTCCACCTGCTGTAAGTGATATGCTCTCCCAACCCCAACCCCATCAAGGACTCAGGAGGGCAATTAGGGCCTACTCGGGACACTTTAAGCCAGAGAATGAATGTGGTCCCATCCCACGGCTCAAGAACCAGAGAGCCATAGACAAAGGTTCAGACATGCTTTCTGTTTCTAAAAGTGAGTGAAGACATGTCACACATTTGGTAAAATGGTTCAGGCTGTTTTCTGTTACTTAATACCTAATCACAGCTCATCATCTGTCACCTCATCAATCACATAACTCACTCTTTTGCTCCTGATATTTTCTCGGGTCTAGATGGAAATGGACGTGATAACAAATTCTATCTTTACAGTGTGCAAAAAAAGGAAAAGATGAAAGAGTGTAGGAAAATACCACTAGTCTAGTCTCACGGGGCATTTGGGCTCTGATGTTTCTTATAGAAATATTTAGAGATTCCTGCCCCCCCAGTTCCATCATTTATCACTTTCTATTTCATTTGCCTTTAAATGGCCACATTAAGCCTATTAACACAAGCTATGATATTACACAGTTAACTCATCAGTTACTTTCAGAACACAATTATTTAAAACTTTGAGTTCAATAACCAAATTGAGTTAAAAACACAGTGATCTTTGTATGTGATTAAATAAATTTTTATATGTAAGATTCTGTGATTGCTACATTTTACTTTATAGGGTTCTCTGATAGTAGATTATAAATCTCCAATCAGTCTTATTCCTCATGAGTTACTTTTGTAAAAGTAATTAATTGGTTTATTAGGTAAATCTAGAGACTGAACATTTAACATAGACATGGCACTCCCAGGAGGCCATTTGTTACCAAGAATACTAATTGCCCTGCATAATCCAAAGGCAAGGAAAACAGCTGCTTTCTCATAATTCTTCTAAGAGATCATTTATTTTACTGATCCTGTTTAAAAGCAAGTTGCAACCCTTTGTGTGGAAGTAGGAACTTATTGTAATTAACTATCAAATGAGCAGGCAAAGGTTCTGGGTTCCCAGCTACTGGGGATGCCTCCCTAACCCAGGGCTTAGTACTGACATTCCAAAGGTTCCAGGGTACACCCGGTAAAATCTGAAGCCCAGACACTCTTTCAGACTGCTTGCTTTACTACAGGAGAAAAGTTGGCAAAGGGTAAAATAGTTTGTGAAGGACTAGGCATGATCAGGAATGCTTGCTGTCATTAATGACTACCCAGAGAGGGAGAATCAGGGATGAGCCCCTTGATCGGTTAAATAATCCCAAGAGGTCAGCTTTAAACACTTGTATATACAAGCAATACTAAATGGACTCGGCAGACTGTGTACACACACTCATGTGTGTGTATGTGAAAATAATAAAGAGGTCATAGATTTGATAGGGAGTGGGGGGAACTGGAGAGGGACAAGGAGGGTAGAAATTATCAGAACGATAGACTCATGTAAAAGATGCTCAGAAGAATTTTTAATTTAAAGTGTAAAAAAGTCCTTACTGTTACAGCAGTGTCCTTCACACAGGAAATGTGAACAACTTCATACATGAATCTCGGAATTTCCTACTGTAACAAAACCAGATTTGCTTGGACCGTGACAGGCAACTAGGAGTGTTTTGGTGACTGTGTTCAGTTAGGAGCAGAAATGTTCACGTCTAAACATGGGGAAACACAGATGCCTGTGAACATGTTTTGTCAGAGACCATGCTTTTCTTTTCTGTGAAGACCCAAATGGACAAGCATGTCTGTATGTGTATAATGTTTATAAACACATTGGCATATGTATGTATGATATATATTTGTGTGTGTGTTTGTGGAGGGTGTTCGGTTATCATTGTGTAAGTAAGTTGGGTTTTTGATGAACTTTGGATGTGATATTGTCACATAGATTAAGAACACAATTTTGGTGTGGAGAGAGATTAATGTTTTATATTGATAGATATTTCAGATTTTAAGCTATTTTAAAAGATACAATTTTATATGTATGTTTTCTATAGAGAGATTCTTTAAGACATATTTATCATGTTTCTAATATGAAATCACTGAACTGTAGTATATTACGACAGGTGCTTTGGGATCTGAATGGAGTAGGAGTAGGAACCTTGGGATGTTCTTGTTTAATTGTTTCTGTATTTACTGTTTCTGTATGTGCTTGCCAGCAAACGCCAGTACTACCAGCCCTTTGCCAAGCCTCTGTCCTCCTAAACTTTGAGTTCATGATACTTTGAACAAACGTCTTATTCTGGCTTATAGGAACACCAAAATATTTTATATAGATTTGACTAGTGAGCAGATGATCCAGAATGTCACATGTGGACACCTTTTATTCATCATGGCGAGCAAAAGTAGTTTGTAGCGCTTTATTTTCTCTTACACGAAGAACCGTGTTGCTGGTATTCTCAGTGAGATTCTCTCATCACGGCACCTTAACTTCTTACTCTTTGCAAAGGAGGGTGATCTGGGAATTAGCACATAAAGATCACGCCAACCACATTCTTCAAAGGGCAGTTATGAAAGCTCAAGTTTAAGAACTCCTGAGAAAAACTTAACTAGAAACTGTGAGACCTGCTAAGCAAAATATTATATATACATACATATATATCAACATTAATATGTAACGTCAACATTGAAACTACTGTTGGTATGTTAACTTTAGTAGTACCAACTGTAACTGATTCAAAAAGACCAGCTTCTGAATCATCTTCCTAAGGAATAAAAAGTTAGACAATTTTAATTTTTATAAAGTATTTCTTTTAGCCAGTTTTTCCCAAGCCCTGAAAGTTTGCAGGTAGTTACTTAAAATGTTTTCTAATAAAACACTGTGGTTTAAGACTGTTACCAAATAATTTTCTAAGTTTGTCTGAACATTTATCACAGGTGAAGAAAAGTAGTTGTCCTATAGTGCTAAGGATTCAGAAGAATTCGGGCACCTTATCTTCTCCCTTCTTTATCAGGAGTGTGAGAGGTGTGTGTGTGTGTGTGTGTGTGTGTGTGTGTGTGTGTGTGTGTGTGTGTGTGTGTGTGTGGTGGCGGCTGTGTAAAACAGAAAATTGGAGTGTATCCCAAATCTGCCACCCAGATGATGAAGTTGCACTAAAATCCCAGCTCTTGCTTCTTTGCAACACACCTAGGGGATTTCTCCAGATACACTTCAAGTGATAGTCCCCAAACTACAATTTCATCAGCACTTTAAAAGATTGGGTTTAGAGCATTATTCATGAATGATTCACATCCACGTAGTGTGTAGGGGTTGGTGACATGAGTGACGCTAACTGTTCTTTTTGCTAGTGCCAAAATAGTGCCTTCTCTGTACATTTTCTATTTTTACATATCAAGGAATAATACTGAAATTCATGTAGTAAATAATGCCATCGAAGGTCATCTTAGCTGTAGATGTGAAGATAAAATTGCTAGACTTTACTGTTTAACTGATGTTCCCCTCCCCTTATGTACTTATATTTAAAGAATTTAAAATAGCTTTTTGGGTTTTGAGAGGTCTGATACTACTGTTGTATTGCTGGTCTAGGTGTTGGCTTTTATAGTATTCATGATTGTTTATATTTACACAGATTTGGTCTTATTAGTTTCAGATGTATTCTGTTATGGCATAACCCAATTTTAACACTACTGGCTAGGAGTTCTATACTTGTCTGTTCTTAACCATGGCCATAGTCACTGCCCCGATCTCTGGACTCTAAGCAGCCTTTCTGACCACTGAAAGCCCCATAGAGATTCCAGCTAGGATCCCAGTGTGATGCCACATTCGGGCACCCTGCTGTATGTGGGTATCTGTTCCTACACCCTGGCGGTGTCTAGCATAGTGAAGTATAAGCTTCTAAAGAATAAAGCTCACCTGGCATCTTTAACTTCAGTTCCAAATCTCTCATCAGTGTGTTAAGGTGAATAAGGACCAAGGAATATCTGTGACCGCTGGAGGGGGTGACTGTGTCTTGGAACTGGCATGGTATGGCCTGACCCTGCTGTGTCTCCTGCAGGTACACAACCTCGAGATGAGAAATGCATGGCCCAGACCCTGTTAGTAGAAAGCCTTGTACTGCCAGCAGGGTAGCCTTCTGTACGCACACCTCATTGATGGGCCCCTCGTTTTTCATGTCCACCAGCAGTGCCAATCATTTTATTGCTTTATCTTGTAATCATTATATTTAATAGCGGTTGCGCACGGAGGCCTAAAACAACCCAGAACTTCTATGTCTACAAAATCCTACAAGTCCCCTGTTGTAAGTACTTGTGCAAATGTAAAGACTTTTTGTTCAGTAGACAATTTTGATGTTTTTAATTATAATTGCTGTTCCTTTTTACATATAAAGTCGGACTCTTTTTTTTTAGAATTTGTAACAAAAACTATTGCTGCTTTAACTGTTATGTTATGCTTTATAATGTAACCATGTGTTTTTAAATAAACTTTACTATGACTTATAATAATTCAGTATGCACATGTATCATACAAAACAAAAGCATGCATTTCAGACTCACTTAAATTTGGAAGCTTATGTTTGTCATTGTTTTTCTGAATTGAAGGGCCTGTGAAACTCAGAAACGCAATATGATATACTCTGCTTTATTATTATTTTACTATACTCAGACAACCATCACTGTGACTACCAGGTCTTATGAGGCAGAAAAGAAACATCCCCAGAACTTTAGTCCTTGTGATACACAATGAAAATAATCAGCTGTTTTTGAAGCATGCCATCCCAAGATCCCATGTCTGAGATTACCATTTCAACTGCTATTATATGGACCTGTCACCTTGACCTTGATCATCAGGAAGCTCCTCAGCCTCCATCCTAGCACTAGCAAAAAATGCTTGATAAGGGGATGTAGAGATGGGGGGGGTAGGTAAGAACACTTCTGTGAAAGCAAGAGAACCTGAGTTCAAATTCCCAGCACCCATGTAGATATTAGACATGGCCACGCGTGCCTGCAGTCCCCGAGCTGGAGGTAGGATTCTGGGTGGAGAAGCAGATCCAGGGAAGTTACTAACCTAACCTAAATGGCAGTCTTGGGAGTCCATGAGAGACTACCTCAGAAACGAGGAGAGAGAAGACAGCACGTGTATGTTCGTCTGCCTCCAAATGCATTGCACAGGTATACTGCACACAAAACATGCACATGCACACGACGTGATTGGAAGACAGAGTCAACATGTTGCATGGTTTCGGAGGTTTCCATCCATGGTCACTTGGCTAAGTGTCTCTGTACACAATGGAAGAAAAGTGTGGCAGAGGAAAAGCTGCCCAAGGCTGCCAAGAGACAGAGCAAGGGGCCGAGACGAGCAGAGGCACCACAATGACCCACTTCCTTAACCTGGCTCCACCTCCTAGGAGCCCATTCAGCTAGTAACTTCACCGTGGGCTGACCCATTGCTACCGGCAGTACCCTGGCCATGAAGTCACTCTCAACAGGGCCACCATTTAGGGACCAAGCTGTCAGTGCATGAGCAGTTGGGGGCCATTTACTGCCCAAACAAGAACAGTGTGCATAACTGGTGGCTAGTATGTGAGTGGAAAATTTATTGTTTTTCCACGCGGTAAACATTTCCCAATAACAAATCCACCTGTTAAGTGAAAGGGAGCGGTCAGAGTGTCTTAACATGATTCCAAGTCATTTAAGGTTGCAGGTCTCTTGGACCACCTTGTTTGATTGTGAAAGTCCTTCATATAGCTAATTAGTTCCTCTTGGGTCTCGCCCAAGGAGGAGTAGAGTACACTAACAACTGGCTATTAAATATCCCTGAAAATATACAAGTAATATACAGACTGGGTCTCTCTCCCTCCCTCCCTCCTTCCCTCCCTCCCTCCCTCTCTCTCTCTCTCTCTCTCTCTCTCTCTCTCTCTCTCTCTCTCTCTCTCTCTCTCTCTCTCTCTCTCTCTCATGCACGCACATTTGTATGTAACAACAATTATTGGATAGGCATGAAGTCTATCCTAAGTGGGACTTTGTTTTGTTTGCAATGGTGGTCTTACTATGATGTCCAGGGTGGCCTTGAACTTGGGCTCATGAGACATTTGTGCCTCCTGAGTAGTTGGGTCTGTATGTGTGTGCCATGACGCCCAGCTCCTCAGAGTGATCTAGTGTCTCTGTGTCTAAGGCCTCCAAGTCTGTATTGCCAAGGAATCGTGCTACATCTCCATTTGAGTGGATGTATTTCAAAAATTTTTCAAAAACACACGAAAATAGCTCCCATCTGCCCATCACCCCAATTTGCCTTTTAATGTAGGTCAAAGTAGAGAAGTATCCAGAAGCACTGGATTGCGGTGTGAAGCTTTCTAGCAATAGATTGTAGACACCGTGTTGATACTTTTAAATACCTAAAAGCTTTGCTGCACTTAATACAGAGGCGGTCAACTGGAAGACAAAGACAAGATGGACCACTCTCCAGACGTTCCCAGGGCTACCTCATGGTCCAAACTGAGAAAGAAATAGAATGGTTCAGTGTACCAGGCTTTTCTTTTAGGCCACCAACCAGCTCCCAAATCATGACATGGAGGCTTATTTTTAGTTTGGAGTGCTCCGCCTTAGTTTAGGCTCGTTTCTGACTAGCTCTTTTAAATTAAATACCTGTTTCTCCATCTACCTTTTGCTTTGGAACTGTTTACCCTCCCTTTCTCCTTCCCTCCCTCCCTCACTCCCTCCATCTCTCTGTCTGTCTCTCTGTCTCTACCCCTCTGTCTGTCTGTCTGTCTGCCTCTCTCTCTTTCACTGTTTCTCATATATGGCTGATTGGCAGCTGCCTGACTTCTGGCCCTGGTCATCCCCTTATCTCCTCTCTTCTCGCCTTCCTGTCTTGAGCCTAGATTCCTCCTCCTATTTATTCTATCTGCCTGCTAGTCCCACCTATCCTTTCTCTGCCTATCTCTTTAAACCAATCAGTCTAATCCAGTCAGGTGCCTTAGGCAGGGAAGGTGAAACAAATGCAACACGTCTTTACATAATTAAACACACACCCTTAGATCGTTAAACAAATGCAGCATAAACAAATGCAACGCACCTTTACACAGTTAAAGTAATAATCTGCAGCACAGACAAATGTAACACACCTTTGCCTAGTTAAAATAACATCCCACAACAGTTCAGGACTCTGTAATTCTCCAACAGTTGATTCTCCAAGATGCCAGAATTGTCTCCGAACTCCTCATATGTAAGGACCAAGGGTTTCCCTGCCTAAGAGAAGCCAGGCTTGAACCAGAAATGTTTCTGAAGCAGAACTATTGGCTGAAATTGACCCCAGGGTATAAATGATTGGTGAGAGGTGCTCTTCGGATAAGCAGTATATCAGTGATTTTGCGGAGCACAGGTAGGAGAGGCGCGCAATCCTAGATCAGAAGTTCCTGCTGTCCAGTTTTGCTTTCCTTTGCCCTGTAAGCTGCAAGTGGACAGGCGCTGATTCATCTTTATAATGTGTCGTATCCTGGTGTTGAGGCTTTTGTTTTGGTTTTGGTTTTTGGTTTTTGTTGTTTTGTTTTTTTTAACATCACGAGGACAATGATGGCAGTTTAGGGCAGTCTCTCTTGCATGCTACGTAATAGTCTTGTGAACAGTAACAAGACCTCTTGCTTAGAAGGTAAGCAAGCACACAGGGACCAGAGCTGGCCTTCTGTGCGCCCTTCTGACCCCAGACAGACAGTCCTTCCCTTCCACCGCTCGGTGGTTCCCCTGCAGCGAGATGCACAGGTTCATCAGATCCGGGCCTAGCTGCTTATCTCATCTCTGACCTAAAGAAGCAACCACAGCAACCAATATTTTGGAGTGCAACAACGTTTTTTGGTTTTTGCTTTTTGCTTTTTGTTTTTGAGTGAAAGTGAAAGAACTCCCTTGTTTATTGAGAGGAGGCCTTCCTGAGCAGGGTTAACTTGAGTCAAAACACCAAAACTGGAGAAAAATCAAGGCAAGAATTCGATTTAGTTGTCCTGATGCTTGGAAATAGCGTTATGCTTCACGACTCCGCCAGGGGGCAGAAAAGATCATATCGCGCGGAATTTTTATTTTTCCTTTTTTTTTTTGTAATCTCCTACTTTTCTCCCAAACTGTGTGCTCCCCCTGATGAAACCGAAGAAACCGAATCCCCCAGCTGTAGTGTCCCAGCGCCGCCTCCCTCGGCGCCCCTGCCCTACCCTGCCGTGCCCTGCCCTGCCCTGAGCAGCCTGCGGCGCTGAGCACAGTCCCCAACTATACTGCAGGTCACCAGCCCTGAAGATGAAGGTTTGGCTGCTCCTTGGACTTCTGTTGGTACACGAAGCGCTGGAAGATGGTGAGTGACTGGGCCGGGGAGTATCTGGCTTCTGTCTGCCTTCGCCCACAGTCCCCGAGATTCCCTTAGTAACTCCTCTAACTTTTGGTCTAAGGGATAGGCTCAGGAGTGGTCACTCACTATCCGGTGCACCTGGCCCCTCCTAGTCCCCCTGGTCCATTTTCTTCCAACCCCCAGCTCCCTGGAGAACCCTCTGGGAAGGCGGTGGTTACTATGACCCTTAGGAGTCCATCAGGACTTCTCTAGCCTTACCAGATAATCATAGATCAAACCCACCATTCCCCGGCCGGCGGCTGGACCGTGCCCCTGTGTCGACGTGTCGGTCTGATGGCGGAGGATCGCTTCTACCTTCGTCCCGCGCGGCGCCTTGCCGCCCTGGACTTCTGCTACTGAGAGCCTGTGCCACCTAGGCAAAGCGATTCTTGTGGGAAAACGCCTTCCCCTTTGCAGTCCTGTTTTGTTTTGTTTTTGTTTTTTGTATACCAACCTGAACGAAAATCCTATAAGCAACAACAGCAAAATTCTGCGCTAAACCGCAAAACAAAAACAAAAACACTACACCACAGTTATATTTCCCGTATAAGAGCGAAGATTGGTGAAAAAATAAGACAACATTATTGTACCACATAAGAGGACCTTGCATCACTTAATTCTTTAAACCACGTTTATTGGGCGTGTGTGTTTGTGTATGTTTGCTACCGCAGATGTGTGGTGATCAATAGTCTTCGGGAGTGGGCTCCCTCTTTGCACTGTGTGAATTTCAGGGATCGAACTCAAGTTGTCAGACTTGGAGGAATGTATTTTTACTCCATCAGCTACTTCACCGATCATTGCAACACTTTTTAGAACGTTTTTGAGATGAGTACCTGCCCTGGGTCCTTCCTGTTGTGTCGATGTCTGACCACAGGGTCAGGCTTTATTGTTACGTATATGTGCAGTGTGTATTGTTTTTATATAATGACGACATCTACGCATATAAGTGCTAATTATTTTATTTGCTCAATTATTTACTTAATTGTTGCTTTTTGCATAGCACGTCTGTCTTTTGTCAGGTGACATCCTGCTAACCCAGCGGTTCTCAACCCTCCTAATGCTGTGACCCTTTAATACAGTTCCTCATGTTGTGGTGACTCCAACCATAAAATTTTCGTTGCCACTTCGTAACTGTAATTTTGCCACTGTTAGGAATTGTAATGAAAATGCCTGCTATTTCTGATGGTCGTTAGGTGACTCTTGAGAACCAATGTGCTAACCTCAAATCTTTCTTGAAACTCTTCAGCTACTGCCACGAATTTGTTTATATTTGGTTGAAGGGCAGCCTTTGCTGTTATGCAACCTCAGCTGGAGCCAGCTCGACCTGGCTTGCAGCTACTCTTCAGTCCTGTCCCACCCTTTCCATCCTCTGAGACTTCAGTCACCTTCCAAAAAATACCAGAATCGAGTTTACAGAAGTTCAAGGTGGTGGGAGCCCTTGACACTGTGCCTGAGGCTGCATAAGGGCAAAGCCCTACTTAGTAAAGTGGGAACAGAGGTTGGGTGGGGGGAACACAATCCTCTTTGCCCAGAGACAGGCTGGCTTGAGCCCAGTTTGCACAATACAGCATTAAAACGTTCTTGGCAGGTTCTTGTGTCTGCCTGACTGCTGAAATGGTGGAAATGCAGTATTTGGTGTCATTGTTGAACACGGCCGAAGAAGGCCAGACAAAATAACCTCAAATAGGCCATTCACTTTGTGAATCCCATGGTGGAAGTTGGAGACGCTCAGGAGGTGACTTCAGCCAACATGGATCAGAGTATTCGAAGGACAACAAACATCTGACTAAATGAATTAGCATCTGTTTAAGTAAACTGCAATTCATACAAACAGTAGACATTTATGAGGCAGCCAGAGAAAGTGGAATAGAGGTCAAGTTCTCAGTAGTTAAGAATGGGTGAACTGTGAGCTTTGCCTCTAAACTTAGATATAAATGCATGATAAATACATTTATGATATACATGACATATATATATATACATATGTGCATATATAATGTATATAAGCCATGGAAAAAATTGAACATAACTATTGAAAACTGAATTTACTTCATCAAGGTATATAACTGTTTTCCTAACCCTATCAAGATATTTTGTTTCTTTTTTCATCTTGAATCCTAGGGTGGTGACAGGGGAGGGAGCAGAAACAACCAATAGCAGTGACTATACAAGAAGTTTTTCCAGTGCTTCTCTCTCTGATTGACAGATCAGGATATGTTACTCCTGTACCATGCCCCAGCACCAAACACAGGCACAGGGGATGACTATAACTGTCCCTGAGCTTGTTGGGTTTGTGATCACATGTAAGAGAGAGTGTCACCGAAGAGGACATCCATGAGGCAGACATCTGTCCTAACCAGTGATCACATTGTGAGACAGAATGTTATTTCTCTTTGTGAGAAGGAGCTGGAAGACCACATAGTCTATCCATTTCATAAAACGAAGGCTTGAAACCAGTGACTAAATAGATCAAAAGCTCCAGTCAGTGATCCACTACTCACCTGTTCTCCAGCATTTCTGGCTAACGTCGCACTGCAATGTTCACACTTAAAAGTATAAAACTGCAGTCACCTATTGGCTTCTCACCACCCACAAATGTATATTTAATGTCAGGAGCTGGAGCTAGTGTCGAGGTATGCATGTTGATTATTTGCTGCAGTTTTATTTACCTACCCAAGTCCCTTTATCCAGTACAATCTTCAGTTCAACACGTTTATTCCGCATCTTACGAAAAAAATTTCTGAGAACACTAGAAAGATTCAAGATATGAGAGGGGAAAGCCAGGTCTTCAAGAAAATAAGGAGAATGATACAGTGACCATGACCATCTAACAAGGACCATGTATCACTTTCCTGTGTCAGTTTGCCCCTTGGAAAAAGACAGGTATGTCAGAAACCATTATTGAAATAAATAAATAATCATAAAATACACCGTTGATTACAAATGCAATTAACAGATGTTTCACATAGTTAGGATCTTGGCCTATGTGTTTGATAGATAAAACTGTCTTCTATACTTAGGGCCAAACAAGATGTTAGTCTGAGGGTATGTGTGTGTGAGAGAGAGAGAGAGAGAGAGAGAGAGAGAGAGAGAGAGAGAGAGAGAGAGAGAGAGAGAGAGAGAGAGAGAGAGAGAGAGGATGGGGGAGAGAGAGAGAAAGTTGGCTATCAGAGGAGTGAGCAAAGTCCAGAAGGAGGGTGGTTTTCCATGAGCAAGGCCATCATGATCAAAGGGGAGGACAGGCAACAAATGACAGGTGAAGATGTAATTTCAGGAACTGGTGTCATGGATCTCATTAACTAGAACATGCTGGCTTCTTAAAGCTGCTGGACAAAGGACAATCTGATGGTCTGTCTCAAAACTTCTTGGAAACAGAAGTATTTCAGGCCAGCGATTTTTTTCAAATTCCCGGAATGTTTGCATAAGCATAATCAAATGTCTTGGATGTGGGACTGGGGTCCAAGCATAAAGCTCGCTTATGTTTGGGTATCTCCTATACATAGATAGTCTGAAGGTGATTTTTTAGATGGTATTTTTTTGTTCACCCACATTCTGACTGAGAAATGTCACATGAGTTTGGGTGTGGCATGTCCCACTTGTGGGATCATGTCAGTATTCACATGTTTTGGGTTTGAAAGCTTTTTTTTTTCAGATTAGGGATACTCAACCTACACCAGGAATGAGATGGCTTAAAACAATGGATATCTAGTCTCTTACAGTTCTGGAGGTCAAAGATCTAAAATCAAGGTGTCATTAGGGTCTTCCTGCCTCTGAGACTCTTGCTAGTTTTTGGAAGTGTCCTACAATCCTTGGCATTCCTTGGTGTCCTGTCTAGTTTTTATGTCAGCTTGACACAAGCTAGTATCATCTAAGAGGAAGGAACTTCAGTTGGGAAAATGCCGCCATAAGATCCAGCTGAGGGTATTTTCTTAATTACTGATTGATGTGGGAGGGCTTAGCTCATTGTGGGTGTGGCCACTCCTGACCTATTGGTCCTGGATTCTATAAGAAAGCAGGTCGAACAAGCAGCACTCCTCCATAACCTTTGCATCAGATTTTGTCTCCAGGTTCCTTCCATGCTTGAGTTCCTGGCTTGCCTTCCCTCAGTGATTAACTGTTACCTGGAAGAGTAAGTGACGTACACCTTTCCTTCCCGAAGTGCTTTTGGTCATGGTGTTTCATCATCGAAATAAAAACCCTAACAAAGACCCTTGAGTTAAAGTGGCATGACTCCAGACTCTGCTTTTGCAGTTACATGCCTGTCTGTCTTCTGTGTGTCTCTCCATATGGTATTTTCCTCTCTATGGGGCTCTTCTGAGGACATTGGTCCTAATCTCAACAGGATTGCATCTGTAAAGACAATTATTTACAGGTACCTAGCATAGGACTTCAATGTATCTTCTTGAGGGACACTTTTCAACAAATATCCCAGGGTGGGACATGAGAGGGGATTGAGAGTTTGTGTTGGATAAAGAGTAAGAAGCCTGCCTGAGATAAAGAAGCAAGAGCTACAGGTGTCACAAACAAGAGCTAAGGCCACGTAAGAGCTTTATCTAGTACTTAGGGTGGCTGAAGCACCCTGAAAGAGGAGACTATAGAGTCGTTAGGGACTAGAAGACCCGAGACAGGGCAATGCCCTGGGTCAAGACAATGAGAATAGGTTTTGAAGATGCCATCAGCTATGTTGATCTCTAGGTGAAAGGAGAGGCAATGATGTGGGCTACGGAAAGCTCTGGACTTGGAGACATAAGATCTGTTTCCCTACCTTCTTGATGAGCTGCGTTGAGCTACATGGCATCTGGGAATTAAAAGGAATAGACTGCTTTAGAGCTCATAGGAGCTCACAGAGACTGAACTGACAATCATGGAGCCTATATGGGTCTACTAAGTCCTGTGTGTGTGTGTGTGTGTGTGTGTGTGTGTGTGTGTGTTATGGGTGTTATGGTTGTTAGCATAGTGTTTGTTGT